TTTGTGAACCAGCTTTTCTGGGGGTACTCCCCAATGTTTTAGTAGCAGGCAAAGTCAGATATTATGCCACTAGTCTCAACTGTGCTGGGTCCACAAAATGCCCACAGCGGGGGCACTCCCCTGCTCAGGACCTGCTCCTCCAGGGAGGCGGTGGACCTGTGGGCTGCTCTCGGGCGGCCGTGAGGCGCTGCGGCTTGTGAAGGCCGTGTTTTTCTCTCCAGAAGGGAGTTTCTGCCTCTTCCACCTCAACTAGGATTGTCCGTTGTTGCAGGAATTCCTCTTATCCAGTTTTCAGTTCTGTCTCAGGGGTAATTTTTCCACGAGTAGTTGTCAATTGGCTGTGTCCACGGGGGGAGGTGAGTTCAGATTCTGCTTACACCGCCATCTTGACTTCTGTCTCCAGAATCTGTTTTAAAATATTGAATTTGTGGTCTTTGGTACACAATACTACATGCACTTAACACTGAGATGTGTCAATTATTCATTCTATTGATACACACTATAATGCACGTCATAGCTGGCTGAAGAACTGTTTGTAACCTAAGAAGAGTTCCATAGCAGGAATCCCCACCCTGGCCCACCCATTAGTCTTGGGATGGTGTTATTACCACCTCCATTGCCCCACAACGTCTAAATAGTTCAGAGGCTTCCATCTTCTCTTTCCATCTGGAAACATGATGTCTTTGAGTCCAGCCTGGTGTCAGGAAGAGAAATACGTGGCAAATAGTAGCAGAGAGGGACAACGTGGATGATAATATCTGTGAGGTGAGGTGAGCCCAGCCACCGTGCGCCCGTAAGCTACTGCAGGCAGTGGGGTTCCCTCTGTCCCCATTGCCCCACATTGCCACCTCGATTTCTAAGGGCTCACCCCAGTCACTAGCACCACCTCTCCAAACTACGAGCCTGTACACAATTGCCACTGCCTACAAACACTGCCTGGACCTTGCAGGGGAGGATCCCCCTCACTCCAGAGCTCCCTTCCAGAAACAACTGGATTCTGTAAGGCCTGAAGAACTAACATCCCCAAGGAGAGTATCAGGTCTCCAACCACTGGGCCTCACATGTCTGTTTTCATCCAGCATGTTCCCAAATATAAGCCCTTTAGTCTTTCATTCTCTGTCCTCATCATGGGCCGCACTTCTCCCCAAACCTAACTATCATTTGCAGACCTTTCCATTCATTCTGGAATTCCCAATCCTTGAGGACCTCATTCCCCACAGCTGTACACCAACAGCTCACAAATCTACATCCCTGGCATGGATTGCTGTCCTGAACTCCACTCAGCATGTGCAGTGCCTGCTGGCTATTTGCATCTGAGCACAACGCATCCAGAGACAAGCTCGTCATCTCTGCCCCAAAGTCTGCTCTTCCTACAGCGTCACAGCCTCAATAAAGGGCACCATCAGTGCTCAAGTCAGCCACCTGAGAGTCATCCCTGACACCTGCTCTTCATTTCTGCTCTTACCTCACTCATTCCAACCCATCCCCAGATCTTCTCTCTTCTACCTCCTAAACCTCATGAATCCATTCAGTTCTCTCCACCTGCATTGCTAACATATCTAGACGGACATCATCTCTCACTGGACCATGGCCATAGCCTCCTAATTAGTGTCCCTGTGTCCAACTCTTGTCCCTACAATTCATTCTCCATCCTGACAAGTAATCTTAAAAAACAAATCTAATTCAGTTGTTTTTCTGTTTAAAACCCATCTAAAACTTTCCTTGCCCTTTGGCTAAGTCTAAATCCTTCACGTGGTCTAGAGGCACCTCAGAGGCTCCTAGCACTCTGACCTCACCCCTTCTCTGCTCTTTATTCCCTTCTTCTCCGTTCTAGCAATTCTAGTCTTCTTTCAGTTTCTCAATATTCAACTTTAACATCAATTCCATAAGGAGGATTTTCCTGCATTTCATTTTATAAAGCAAACCTCATATTTACCTCCATGTCTCCAGAACTGTGGAAGGCACTCGATAAACATATACTGAATGAATGCATGCACGAGTACATGAAGGAATTCACCTTTAACAGGGCCATTGCTGTTTCCAATGGACTTTGGTTTCCAACGAGAATTGCATTTACTAAACCCAGTTTGCCCTGATTGATCTGGCCTATTAAGACTTCATAGTTAGGGTGACCATTTATCATTCAGACTAGGACACTTTTGAGAGTAAAAGTGGATGCTAAAAATAGTTAAAATTTTATATATATGTATATATATATTTTAAGATTAAAGGAAATTTATTTAACACTTATATACCACTTGCTCTGTGCCAGGCCCATTTTGTTTCACAAATATTAACACATCTAATCCTCCCCACAGCCCTATGAGGTAGGTACTATTATCCTCATTTTACAGATGAGGAACCAAGGCACAGAGAAATAACTAAACTTGCTGGAGGTTACCAGCAAATATCTGACAGAACCTGGGCTCAAATTTCAGCAGGCTGGTCTGAGCCACACTCTCTAGCCCCCACACGTTGCCTCTCTGAGATGACTCAGTCCCTCACGCAGTACCGCTGTGTGGAGGCGTCCAGGGATGGTTGCCGACGCCCACCTGTTCATTGTCATTGTTATTTCTGTTATACAACACGTTTCTACTCTTCGGAGAAGCTTTCTCCAACCGACGAACGTCACCTACTGCCCTTAAAGTTCCCTCATGCCTCACCCTCCTGACCTGGCGCGGGTTTTCTACCCTGATGCACTGCCTGCACGCCGGCTGTGCAGCCCCAGCCTCCGGCGCGAGATGCGCCTCCAGGGCATCTCCTGATCCAGTTCGTGAAGGTGGGCCTGGCTGGGCTGCTTCTCCCCAGCACAGAGAAGGCCTTTGACAAACGTCTGGGGGAATACGAGGTCCAATGCTGTCCAAAGATGTCTCAGAGTGAAGGGCTGGAGGGCCCAGCCGTCTGTTCCAAGGAGACCTTCGAGGACCGGCCGGCGTGCCTGGCGCATGTGTGCCTGTAGTATGGAGAAACTTCTACTTGAGAGACTGGGGTAGGTGATCAGGCTTAATTCCAAATCTTAACATTTACTTCGACTACCAGCTCATTTCAAAAAAAATAAAAAAATCATTGGAGTCACTGTTCCAAGTTACACAGCAACTCAGTGGCCACTGTTGTCTCTCTACCAAACCGCAAGATGAAGCTAAAGAGGTGACACCATTCTCCCCGGGGCTGTAAGTGCTTCCTACTCAGTGATCTCCATCTGGCCTGCTGCAGTTTCAGCTTTAGTCTTTCCCCTGGTTCTGAGTTCTCTCACCAGTGGATGCAGGAAAATATCCCCACACACACTAAACAGGGAACTCGGGGCTAAGCAAGGGAGCTATGCCGAGGCGCCACCCGGGGCTTTAGGGTCAGGAGTGGGGATTGTAAATTGCTCATTGCCTTTCAGTTCCAGGACAAGAATCGCACCTGACAGAGCCTGAGTCAAAACTGCCGCCACTGACCAGACCAAAATTGTACATTTTTTGATATGCATTTATTGATTTTATTATATTGGTGGACTTATAGTTCTATTTGAAGATAAAATTATTTATAGAAGTAATTTCAAAAATAAAATACCTCCATTTCAAAAGTAAATAAAAATTTCAAAACTAAAATATATCTAAAAAAGGGAATCCATACATCAAGACAAAAAAACTTATTTATATTGATTATCTGAACATTGAAAAATAACAAAAGCAGAATAATTATCTTTGGTACATATTCATTTACTTAAATTAGTTCGTAAAATGCATTTGTCTCAAATCCCACATTACTGATATTTTTCTGATCTTTTTTTTCCAAATGACCTTATTTTTAATTCTTTCACAAAATTGCCTATAATCGTCTTCAAAGTTGCATTTTATGATTCATAATATGAAAATGTTGACATGTTCAATTGATTCTTCTCTGTAAACCACAATATCTTTATTTGAGAAAATATTCTCTCTATGAACAAATTCTGCTAAATGGAAGATAGTCTCAATTCTAATTTTTCTCACATTGAAATGTGTAAATATTTCAAACCAAATATTTTCACAGATACATCCTCCACTCATGCAGAGCAGCTTTCTTTGACAAATACTTTAATAAGACAAAACATTAAATAAATTACCTGGTCCTTTTGAACATTTGACTATATTTAGATTCTGCAATATTGTAGGTCTTGTCAATTTCATTCCATTCTGGTACTGAATGTATATCTTTCAATTACAGTAGGAGCTCCCACACATTAAGCTGTTTCAAAGTGAAATCACGGAATATCAATATCAATTCTTGTTCACCATTTGTATTCATATTGTTTAGTTTGTTAAGTTCCTCCCTTGCTTTCATAGGGATAAACTTCAATGTTTTCCAGTTTGCAAACTTTGTTTTCAGTAATTGCAACATTACAATTTGCTAAAAGTTTCAAAAGCTAAAGGTTTTTGGTGTTCTGTTTATTGAATATTTTCATTAACAATTTTCAATGTCTTTTGAACAAAATGCAACTAAAATTTAGAGGACTGCTTTCAAAAAAATGTCAAAATCATCGTAGAGCTTGATTCACAAAGGCTCAGACATTTCTATAGTCCAATTGGTGACAAGTAATGGGGAAAGAAAGTACACATTTCCAATGCCAAACTATTTTTCAGAATTTATCATCAACTTCATCAAAACAATTTTGTGGTTTCTGTGGTATTCTGTGTATATCTGAAAACAATCATATATAGTGACACCTATAGCTTCTATTTTCATTGGCAGAATATCCGAGCTTGTTTGGACAAAATTATGAATTTTCAGTGCACCACAACAAATTCCCAGTGTACTCCTGCATACTTTTCTTGAGTAAGAAGATTATTAGTTTTACCACAAAACTGTGTCCTACCAGACCTTGTTTATATTTAATTGTAGAAACAATAATTTTATCTTCAACGTTGAACTTTATAACTACATTTACAATAGCATTCACAACAATGTCCAAATTTTGCCTTTGAGATAATGAACTTCCAAAACCCTTACTTTGATGGCATGAATTGAATAAGGAATCAAGCTATTCTTGGAACTGACTTTTCTACTTGGAGTGTCTGATGACATTTTATGAAACTGGCATCATGTAACTGTGTGAGAAGTTCTTCTGTTAATGGAGCCTGCACATCAACAGCTATGACTTCATTTTTTACATGTGCCCAGGAAAACTTGGAATTCAAAATGAGTCATTCTAGAGATCTGGTGTACAGCATAGTGCCTCTAGTCAACAATACAGTATTATGCACTTAAAAATATATTAAGAGGGTAGATCTCATATTAAGGGTTCTTACCACACACACACACACACACACACGCAAAAATGACACAAGGAAACTTTTGGAGGTGATGGGTATGTCTATTACCTTGATTGTGGTTATGGTTTTACAGGAGTATGCATATGTCCAACCTCATCAAGTTGTATACATTAAATATGTGCAGTTCATTGTATATCAATTATACCTCAATAAAGTTGATAAAAAATTAAAAGGTGAAAAATAAATTTTTGAATGAATGGAATTAATTTAGAAGATATAAATGTTGTAAATAAATACATTGGTATAAATGAAAAGTAATACTCTTCAGAGCAATTTAAAAGCATACTTTATATAACTGCATATAGTCTTCTTAAAATAACAACTGCAATAACTTTTGAAGTAGATGTGGACCTTTCTTTATCAGATTTGAGGGTTCTGGTTTTGAGGTGTCACTGATACCACTGTGGCTCCCACGGTAGACAGCAAAGGCCAACAAACATTTTGTGTACATTACATGTTCATCATCAACTTTCTTAAGAAACAGAAATTTAGTACATTTTATATTAAATATGCACTTAATTTTTCAGCTCATTTTTGTAAATGGGTTTAGATCAAAGTAAAAACCATTATGAAATAAATTAAATAAATAGTTTTATTATTCCATAAGATAAGTGACAAAATTTCCATGGCTAGAGTCCTTAAGCAACTCGCCATCCATGCAACTTGCTATACATGTTCAGCCGTTATTTCCTGCACATATTTCATATACACCTAACTCATAACTTCTCGTGTTTTCCCACAAGCCAACCGGTGGCCTGGAGGCTTCCTGCATCCAGGCCACAGCACAGGTGTCAATGAAAGTGGCCGATGCACCAAGTGGTCCCACAGGTACAGGAGTGGTGAATACTTCTCCCACCACCACTTGAGACCTGAGGGGTTCGCTGTCCTTAGCAGCTCCTGAGTCTGCTTCCTTTTCTCAGTCCTTGATAGAAAGACACTGGTGTCTCTCAACTGGAAGGGCTGGGAAGAGTTGAGTCATTGCTGGTTGTCTTCCAGATAAGACCACTGCACATGCATCTCACACACTGCTGGATAAGGCCACGATAAAAGTTGGAACCACCAAGAGGAAGTCCACCAAAGCCATCCAGGTTTACTTTAATGGGACTATTAATAATAATGTTTCATTTAAAAATGAAGAATCCAACAAATGTTAAACCAAACCAACACAGTCCCAGGCAAACTCAGGTGAATAGCCTCTCTATTCTTCCCTGGCACCAGACTTTCATCCATTTTCTATTATTGTATTTGAGTCAAACATGATGAGAAAAATTTGGAAGATTTCTGCAACCATATTTATTCTCCATCAACAACTTGAATATTTTCCACTGCAGAGAGTTAATTTTAGCATAAGGGAAGGAAACAGTGAAGGAGGGCCAGGAAATAGAGAAGACATCAGTATCCAAACAATGGGAACCGTTTTAGAACTCTTCATTGTTCTGTGGGCCTTTAGAACAAGAACAAAATTGAAAAGTAGCCAATTTCCTAGGCACTGTTTAAAATTTTCTCTTTGGAAGCCAATCTTTCCCATCTGACTGTTAGACTTTGGAGAGAGAAGGGACAAGAGAAAGCTTGAGACCAATGTGGAAGAGATGTGTGTGTTTTGGGATGAGAGAAGATGGTGTTAAGACAGGAAAATTTGTCATCTCCTAAGTATTATTTCCCCGAAGCCAGGACTTTTCTTCAGAATAGTTGATGTTGTTCAGTCCTACCACAAAAACATAAAGAAAAAAAAAACACCCTTCCTTCCAAATGTTCAAACCTTCCAGTAAGTTGATGCTTGGAGCTTGGCAAGCTGCAGAATAGAGACTAGGTTCCCAGAAGGTTTTGCTCCAATTCCCAAGCTTCCAATAGAGAGGCTGAAGGATTAGAACTGGTCTGAAGGGTGAGGGGCAAGGATGAGGAATAGCACTGGCCTTGGGTGTAATCCAAAGTGATTTTTGGCTTCTGAA